TATGGTGAGGTTCCTAGAAAGAAGATCTTATATGTATCTCACTATGTACTAGTGTTCGACGAGCACGATCTATACTTGACGTTAATGGAGTACGGCGAAAGAGCTTAGATGAACAGCCGAACTACAAGTTTGAGTGGGTGCAGTATTGCACGCCAAGTGTGGGCATATGTAGGCATTTCTATTTGAGCGTATCGAGGTAATATTCTTGCTTCTATTTCTATCTTTCTCGCATTAGATTGGAATTGTAGCTTATAACTGAAATAGAGAGTAGAGTTTCTTTGAGCAGGCTCTAGGTGACCAATAGGGTTATTTCCAACCCCTTCCCCGACCGAGGATGAGAGGCGAAGAGCCTTAACAGTGGTGTTACACCCCTGTTTGCTTATCTATCACCACCCTTGATATCATCAGGTAATACTGCTTGCCGGTTGACTTCAAGAGTGTTCTGTCGATTTTTGTCCAACTTGTTGAATTTATGCACGACTTGTAATGTAGCATAGTAGCTGAACGGTAACGAGGTAAACCATAACCCCAGGTTTATGCTAGCAGTGGCAATCAATGCTGTTGGGACTGCCTGTACGCCAAAGCCAACGGCCACTGCAGCCGACTCTATTCCTCGCAACAAGGAGCTATAGCGAATTTGGTCACCAGGGGAGTCCGAGAGATTCCCAAGCCCTCCGGCGGCGGTGCAGGCGTTGACTTCTATGTGCCTTAGGTACCTAGGTATCTAAGACAGGTGCCTCGCAGGTGGTTTATTGAGTTTATTGACATGCGTGACATGATGTGACTGATTTGGTGTCGTCGTCTAGAGCCCCCTTCCTCCCGACCACACGCCGGAGGTGGTCAAAGCTCCAACAAAGCCCAAATAAAGGCCATCGGTACGACTGCATCAAAAGGCTCCCAGACACCGGGCCACGAATTCACGATCTTTGCACAACCAAACAAAGCAGAAGCACCCAGCGGCAACACCAAAGAATGTCTGCCATCCACCACCACCGCCGCCTCTTGCCTTCGGCCTCGGTTTCGGCCTCGACTTCCGCTAGACAAGCAGCAGTACGTCATCGCCGAACCACCTCCCTCAGTTTCTTACTTCTTTGCTGGCTCACTCTCTGCAGATCCAGGACCAAGTCCAGAAGCAAAGGCAGGAGGAGCACAAGCAGAAGCAGATCCATCGCTGCAGCGAGGACCGTCAACCCGCTTCTTCGTCCTGCTCTCTCAACGACGACGACGAGTCCAACACGCACAGCACGTCTGCGTTGCTTTCCCGTACGTACCTCAGGCAACGTCATCCATCATTCATTCCCAATGTCCATTTGGCCCTCCGCAATTCTGATACTCCTCTCAGTCGCCATCCGTTCCTCGCCCACTTGGGGGACCGATCCCAGATACCTATCCATATCTCCAATCACCGCCACCATCTTTCATTCCTTTCTCGGCTCTCCTCAGGAATTCCCTCCAGCTTGCTGACCAACACACCCGTCTAGCACGTACCGGTATCGTCCCTTCGAACAACGTTGATTTCGTTGATAGCGACAGCATCTCCGAGTCGGCTTCTTATGCTGCCACGCCCTTCGCTACTACTGCTTCTGGTGCTCACTTTTTCAACGGTATGGCTCACCGCCCATCCTTCCCGGTTCCGATGTGCAGTTTGCCATCCACGCGCTGCTTCAATGGCGTGTTCACGTGTCTACCTCTGCAATGTTCAGATGCTTCGGCACAACGCGGGGACAAGAAGAAATTAGGACAGGGTGATGCTAACACGTCGTGTCTCTCAGGCAACAGCGATCATAACAAGGACCACCACCACCAATCGGCGTCTGATCCCCAGCTCTCGCCGCCACCTCCGTACGAACGAACCACCAATGTGTCCAGCATTCGCGGCGGCTTGGACAAGAGTCTGGGCGAGGCCGCCGCTCGCTCTCCAGCGGAATCTCGAGGCCGAGAAGCAGGAAAAACACAAGAACCCCGAGGGTTCAATCCACATATTACTCTCGACGCCACCAGCTTCGCTCCGGGCTACTACTACTACGGCGGCCGCTGGATGCAAGACATCAGCCGCCCCTCCTGCAACATCCCGTGCTTCCAGTCGCACGATGGTGCGTTGATCTGCGGCGTCTGTACTGTGGTCTTCTTGGTCTTGTGCGCCATCATCGGTTTCCTCATGTTTTTACTCTCCCGCTGTGGTGTCGCGCCCGGCGCTTGATGGAGGAGCACTTGAGAGAGAGCAGCACCGAACACGCATAGAATGTGGCTCATTTGGCTGGGACACAGGATCCAGGGGCAAGGAAGGTATGTACTTTCTTGCATCTGTCTATCCTTCTCTCGCTCGCTCCCTTGTTCGGTCGGTCGGTCGTTAGTTACTTTGTTTGTTTGTTGGCTGCTGGCTTGCGCGAGAAAAACGCCTCGAGCAGCAGGCAAACTTGCCTGTGATATCATCCCAAATATCCTTTTCACCTCAAACATTTCACGTGTTTTCTATTCCTTCATTTCCTTCCTTCACCCTTCGTGCCTTATCATTTCTATATTCCGCCTTGGTTGAGCCGATGGCTAATCAATCATGGCTTGCAGTCGCAGTCTGCGTGTCTCTGGCAGGAACAAGTTGGCATGTACAGGAGGCAGATGAAAAAGTTTCGGCAACAGGCGCTCTATGTATTTAGATTAGCGACTTTGCTTTTGAGCAAAACCAACAGATGCTGCTTCTCTTGTCTTATGGCGGGCTGGATATGCTGGATATGATATTCTTTTTTTCCCCACCCATCCCCCTTTCAGACACACACACAAATAGTTCGTTCGCCCCAACGAGATCTGTTTTGATATATCTCAAACGGGCTGGTGATCCTATTCTCTCACTATCTGCCTTCCTCGTATAAAATGAAGACAGGTGGCAGGTCCGTGGCATTTTAGACTAGCAAGAGTCCCGAGGGAAGTCGCGTCGCGTTGCTTTCAAAGGCCTTGATTCTGATTCGTCGATGACGACGACAACGTCGTATGGAACACCAATTCCCGAGAAATATCTCGCGCAGCTTACGAAAATTACGGATGAAATCAGGGTGCTTCACAAATGGGAACGAGGTGACGATCTTGTCTATGACAACATCATAGCGCAACAAGGCCGTCAACCATAGGACGGCGAACAGTCTGATCGTGTTGTGCTTGCAAGCTTGTTTGATGGGAAAGTACCTGGTGCATACAGCTCCGCCGATTGGGCTCAAGTGGTCCAAGCCCATGAAGCCTCGTGAGAGACTCTTGATAGCATTTAGACATGGATGCAGAAGTGATGCACATGCATGACTGTATAGTGGCTGTAGATTTACTGTATCGTCTTGCTTATGTAGGATAACCGGTCAACTTTCCAAAGAAATTGATGATAGTATTTTCTTGCAGTCCTTGGGTTCACAAACAGTGCTTCGATGTGATCAAACAACTTATAAAGAGCAATATGATGCTGCCTTTCGCAGCAAGGTCAATTATTGCATACTGAATAGTCCTCAGTCACTAGATCACCATCGAGCATGTCTAGGCGTTTTAATATGTTGTCCATTATCGACTAGAACTGTCAATTGATTTCTGAACTTAAGAATCTAAGGGACTAGAGTATGAAGGTAATAAGCGTCAACATTGTGGCTCAGCAGTATCTAACTTTGGGCCCAGCTTGATTCAAGTTTAATCGATGAAATGGCCCTGTTTTCTTGGCTTGCTTGGCTGCAAGACCCACAGAGAGAAACCGCTTCGCTGATCCGGCTTCTACACGGTGGCGACTTGGCAAATAGTCCTATCTAAGGCCGACCATCCTCCTGTGCCAACTGTCGTTTCAGGAAGGTGATCCACATCTACATAGACTAGTCTTGCTTATACAGATCATTATGTACCATACCTCATGCGTTTCAACAATCAGCTCTTTTCAGAAGCGTATAGATAGCTGGGGGTCCCCAAGAGACCACACTCAAATAGTACTGTTGGAAGTTGGTGGCCTAGAGATATGGTGGAATGTTCACTACATCCGGCAGAATGTGTGGCTTCTCCACTCTGATTCTATCCTGAAGAAGAGAGAATGCGCATGTTCGCGCCATACCCGCCGTGGTTTTACGGATTTAGCAGATGCAATGCGGGTATCATGGGTCTCCTTAAAACGCAGTCATCCAATCAAGTCACTGATTATGTACGATTGCTGATCAAAGTGATGACATATAAACAAGCAGGTGACCATAGGTGCGATTGATACGAACAGCGGGATTATCTGCCGATCTTGGCAGCACGTTCCTGAGACGGCCTCTCTTACGCGGCCGACTGGGCATGCATTCTTCCTGTTATCGGCATCTTGAGATGATCTGGGCCCTAGTTCGGTACCCGGCGACTAGAGGAAGATCGGAACGCCTCACGCGCTCATTAGCCATCTACTTGGGACTGGCGATGACTGACTTTAGGCCTCTTATGGTTACCCGCCAAGAGATTTTGTCATTATTCCATCTAAATGGTTGTATACGCTCTGTACTATTCAGGAAAGTTTGGTGAGGGGAAAGGAGGAGTATGTCATATCTAAAGTGCAAGTGGAGAAACCAGCGCAGCGTGGGGTAGGATCTGAGGGGCACTCTATCAGATGTCTGAGGGATGGTGTGGGAGATACTCTTCCGGCAAATGTGATACATGGTATGAAGTATAAAAGCCATAGAAGATAGAGGATGGAGGCCCGCCTTACTTAAGCTCTCTTTCCCTCTCACCTCAACATCGTCTCATCATTCTCGGTATTGGCATCAATTCACAAACATCAACTAAAAAGCACCATGGCTATCATTTCTGAGCTCCCGCAAACCGTACCCTGGCAAGGGAAGAAGGTGCCAGTCTATCCGATGGAGACAATTAGCTTCTCTCGATTGCTCTCCCAAGAACCAGCAGAAGTCGAAAGACTTGTTCGTTGCTGCCAGTCGGAAGGCTACTTCTATCTGGACCTCCAAGGAATCGACGGCCGTAGGATGCTAGAGGATCAACAGAAGACACTCGACCTCATGCATCGTTTTTTTGAGTCACCTATCGAAGCTAAGAATGAATTTGGGCTGATTTCCCCACATCTTGGGTATGTTTTGGAGCACGTGTATGAAAGTATTGGCCACTGATCATTTTCTACAGATATGAGCCTGTCGGCTCACGCACTGGTGTGCTTGAGAATACCAAGGACGGTTATGAGATGATTAAGGTTAGTGCCAGTCGGGATCCTTGTTGAAATTAACATGATGGGATTAGTTCATCTAACTTTGAATAGGTCTCAAGGGACGAGATCCAGAGACTCGATCCTCACCTGCCCCAAGTCATGAAGAATAGCGATGACATCAAGATCCTTGAGAATGCAATTGCGGGTTCTAACATCATTACGAAGGCCATTCTTTCAGCTCTTTCTACAGGACTGGGTCTCACTGGCGCTGCTCGGTTTGAAAACTCGCACCGCAATGATCGGCCCTCTACGAGCACTCTAGCAATGATGCATTATGTTCCCTCTGACCCAGCAAAGGATCACAATGTCGGCCATCAGAAGCATACAGATATTAGCTCTTTGACTCTTCTCTTTAGCGAACAATGGGGAATGCAAATTCGCCCTCCTGGTGCCCGAGAGTTCGGGTTTGTTGCTCCCAAGGTCGGCTCCGCTATTGTCAACGTGGGCGACTCCCTGCGTTTCGCTAGCGGCCATACAATGCAGTCTTGCATTCACAGGGTTGTACCGGCAAACCCAACCGAGCACCGATACTCCATTGCTTATTTCCTTAGAGCCGAGGATGATACAATGTTCACTGATAGCGAGGGCAGGTACATTACTGCTGGACAGTGGCATGACGAGAAGTTTTTCGCCTTCACAAGCCCACCCGAGATTCAGGCTTTGGCCCCGAGCTCCATGTTGCTAGGGGGAATGTCCGAGGAAAAGGAAATAGAGGTTCAGCAGCCAAAGGAGGGAGTCCTCCCTACTGTGACAGTGGATAAGATCAAGACTGCTGTTGAGGCGTACTAGAGTTATATAACATCTAAATGGAGTTCTAGTAGTAAAAAGCAAAAGCACTCTCATTGCGTTTCTGCAGAGAGATATGTTGATTCGATTTATTTCCGTGTAGACGGCATCCGTGCTATACACCTGGCATAATCCGCGATACCTCGGCAAGATGTAAGCTACTCAAAATGCTACTAAGGACATTTTTTCGACCAACCTGCCTTGCCATCTAGTAGACTCAGATGTCTCTTTGCAATCTGTCAATATATGAAATCACAAATCTGCAGGTGACGGTCAAAGCAGTGTACCTCGGTGCATCTTCTGCTAGCCATACGAAATCGCTGCAGGCAACAGTGAGGCGCATTCTGATCAATAATACAATTTATTCCCTTTTCGTGAAGGCAGATTTTCAAGCTTCTGCTTTACTGGTCAAAAGTCACATTGAAGATAAGCAATCGGGGTAATGCCAGTGCGCCTTGACGCTAAGTTCTGATAATGCAGAGGCTGAGCTTCTGCTCCGCCTCATTTTGAAGTCATCACGTGAAAAGTCCTAGACCCCGTGTTTGAGTTCTTGAACAGAATTATTCTTTATTATCATTTTGTGACCTGATATCATTGTTTATGTGATTGAGTCAAAAGTCGCCTTCTACCCGAGAGCCTCTTTATTCTTGTTGGTATAAATGGATGACATCTATCATCATTTTGGGCGCCGAAAGATTTGGGACAAACATGATGTGCCTAAAGCACCGAGCCTGGATGTCACTGAGATATGGCAGCATCCTTCTCTGGACCGCGTTGTTATTGAACACAAAACAATTAGCTCGGCTGATCTAAATGGCTGGATTGAAGAAGAGCCGGCCAGATGCTTCGGGGGCGAACAACACGGTCGTATCGTCCGATTAATCTGGGTTGGTAAGAGCCCGACTTCTCGCCGGCAGATCCCGTCTACGAAGTCTCTGGACCATGTGCTCGATTCCTGGGAGCTGAAAACTGCTTCTGAATACGCCCAGAGCTGCTTTGCTGGAGTGTCTGCACTACCTCCTCAAGACAATATCCGCACTTTCACCTTGACGTACCACCCGAAGTTGGCAGTCGCGTGGTCACACAACAGTTATAAACAAGGGCTAACTCCTCACACTCAAGGGGTTATATATGCTGAACCAGAGGAGCGAACTGAGCTTGTCGGCATTCTGGAGTCTCACTGGCGCAGTCCGCTTGTGACACACGCTATGTTTCCGGCTTTCTTGTGCGCCATCATGTTCATTCATCAACTGGATATCACATCAGACGGCATTAAGACTGAGGTGCGAGAAGTCGAACTGAGAACCGGCCACCGTCGAAATACACGCCGTCGTCAGGAAGCTCCTGCATCAGGAGAGTTAGGACAGCTCTCGGCTAAGATGAGCGGTTGTGCTTCGAAACTGGCTAGCGGAATTAGAAAGATCAAGGTCGTTGAGGCTTTGAACGACTTCATGTCCGCGAATGCATTGACCCCTAGCGTCGAAAAGAGTGGAAGTGGTAACGAGACCAACCTGGGTATCTCATCACGAAAGCAAGCCAGGCTGTTATCAGTAGCTGGAAGGGAGATACTGGAAAGCTCCGTCGATTTGATCAAGGACCGCCTCCGCATGCAAGTTGTAGAGAACGAATACATGCAGCAACGAGTGCAGATCCAGATAGCGGCACTCTTTCATCTGATCGCACAACAAGACAACGCTATTGCCTTCGAGGCAGCAAACGCAACTCGAAGCATTGCCGCCTCCAGCCAGAAAGACTCATCATCAATGAAGATGCTTGCCTTGGTGGCCATGTTTTTCCTGCCAGGAAGCTTCATTGCGGCTTTATTCTCAACGCCATTGTTTGACTGGAATGCTCCGCGTCCAGCATCCATTGGAATCCAGACGCTCCCTCAATTTGGGCTCTTTTGGGCCATTACAGTCCCGCTGACTGCTTTCATTTTCATTTTGTACAGTGTATGGATGTATTTGCTGAAGAGAGACCAGCGTAAGTCTGACGGGTGTGAACGGCCAGAAAGAACACATTCATTTTCTTCAAGCACCTTTGATATCAACTGGGTGTAATTCATGATGTATAGAAGCCATTCGTCTAGAGTTTCAGCTGGTTTCTGATCGTGGATTGGGAAGAGACCAGATTTTCTTTTCCGTAGCCAGATGATTCTCTAGCATAATTGATGTAGTCAAGATAATAATCACGTTGTTTGGCCTTGCTCTTCATAGAAAACGTCTAACGGCTGGCATGCACGACTTAACACAGACGAGTCCAATCATTATGCACCTGCTGTAAGATACTTTTTGCAGCGACTGGGCGCGCCAGCAATAGCTAGCCCTGCCCAGCAGGGTCTTACATTCATGCAGGCAATTGAGGAGGAACGGCCTGCTGTCAATGCGTTCGTGCTATCCCTCCACAGGAGGAGAACATACATAGTCGCCATTCAACCTATAGTACCCCTCTGTTTTGGTTGCCTCTACTATTTCACATCTCTACTTCTTATCAATATTGCTTGCGTCTGGATTGTCGTCGGATGCTATGGGTTCTTAGGACAAGGGTGTACGCGACGCGTTAAGCGCGTCTTCCAAATTGTTACTGGACGAGTATATCCTCAGCACAATACATCGTTTTTGGAGCGTGTAATAAAGAGAAAAGAACGCGTTTTAATCGTCGCTTCTCGCTTCAATCAAGATCTCACTCCTTACACAGTACATAATGATTAGCTGCAGGGATAAATAGGGGGTTCCAATCAAGGGTGGGAACGTAGTAATTTGGTGGCGTGGCAGAGTCGGTGGGCCATGTAAGTCCACCTCCGACAAACACATTCGCCCTGAAGAAGCACCGTGAAACTCACCTAACTTCGTCTCCAAACACCATTTTCTTATCAATAAAATCGATTTCCACTAGTCGCGAGGTCCAACGGGAAAGTCGATATTTTTTCTTGATTAAGAGTCTGTCATCTCGTGGGGACAGCATGAATGCCCTCGGAATGATTGACTTGACGGCGTCAGACTCGGAGTCTTCCCTGTCCAGTGGCCACCAATCCCACGACGAGGATGTCGTCTACAGCAGGTGGAAAGGGCAACTTCTTGACTGTCTGAATGGTATCACCTCTTCTGGCGACTTCTCCGCGTCTCGCCAGTACCAAACATTCCCGAATCCGTGTCTGCGGATTGCAGGGCGTGCGGCTGTCATTCCTCTGCCACTGACCGACCATGACGCCGAGGCGATTCGAGGCGCCTGCAAGGAGGCTCCGTTTGGTAGGGGAGACGAGACACTTGTAGACACATCGGTGCGAAAGACTTGGGAATTGGACGCTACACACTTTGAATGTACGAATCCTAGTTGGCCGGCCTTCTTTCGCACGGTCTTGGACGATGTGGCTACAGGTCTCGGCCTTCCGAACGTCCGCGCGAAACCCCACAAGCTTCTCCTCTACGAAAAGGGGTCTTTCTTCAAGCGGCACAAGGATTCCGAAAAGGAAGTCGGCATGATAGCCACACTTGTCATCTGTTTGCCAGCAGCGCATAGAGGGGGTTCCGTTCAGCTTTCTTTTGGGCCTGAAAAGCGCGAGATAGCTACAGCACCAGCATCGCCATTCGACATCACGGCGCTCGCGTGGTTCTCCGACGTGGACCATGAGATCAAGCCATTAAACTTCGGCCACAGACTGGTCCTCACCTACAAACTGTTCCAGTCGGGTTCCGCCAAGCGATCTGCCCACTTCCTCGTCGAGCAGTCACGGCAGCTCAAGAGCATTCTCGGTAAATGGCGGCCCCAGTTTCCTACTACGTTGATGCTCGCCTACCCACTAGAGCATCAGTACACCAAGTCCAGTCTGTCTTTGAAGAATCTGAAAGGCCGCGATCACGCTGTGTGCCATAGTCTGAAGGAGATAAGCGCTGCGTGTGACTTGCACCTCGCCCTAGCCCACATGACGCGTACGGAGGATGATCCGGATGATTACTACGGTACTGGTGACGGCGAGGTATCTGTAACCCTGGACACCATCTATTCGTGTGAGGGCTTGCAAATAGGATCAAGCCACGATGTCGACGAGGCCGAAATTTTAGGCTCGATCTTCAAGGACCGGGAACCTGACAGCGAGGACGAGGGAGAATTTACAGGTAACGAGAGTGCACCTAGTTCTTTCCGATACCACGATACTGTATGACCCCAAATTATCGCCCTTGCGATCACTAGCATTTGATATTGACACTCTCGTACAGGTTGCTGTGCTAATTCCCAAGCAACATATTCATCAGCTCTTGAAAACCAGTTTTTATTCAGGACTTTCTAATGAAGAGGCGGAGAACCTCCTCTCCATGGTCAAGCAAGACTTTCACGAGCACCAAGATAGGCCATTTCTCATATCAAGTACTTTGAAAGTCATGACTAAGGCCCTTGACGTAAGTCATGGCTCAGCTCAGTCCACGTTGCCCTGCACTGTTGCCAAGTGGGCTCTGGAAACAAGCCAACAAGATCTTTACCAAATGGCGCTGAAAGTCGCCCTGTCATCTAAGACATTTTCGAGTGACCTACTCGGCGTGATCTCCCATTTTCTTGACGAAACTTTTGCCAAGAATCCCAAAGACGTTGACTGGGAAAAATGGTTCGTATCCCTGTCCTGCCTGAGGAACCAATGACCGAAGGATCTCTGATCTTATAATTTTGTACCGGGGCGTCTGCTGATGCTATCTAGGCTTGGCCCCATCTTGCGCTCTACATCTGTAGGGGGATGGTACTCTGTAACGAAAATGTTCACAACACGTCTTGGGACCAAATCTCTGCAAGACTCGTTTAGTCTTTGGGCTCAATCACAGTTAGACCTTAAACTTGATACGAAGGCATCCTTCACGCTTATAGATCACGATTTCTTCTTGGCTAACTTAGACCAAGCTGTGACAAGTGACAGGGAAGTAGACATTTGAGATCCGCTTCGGGACTGTCCATTGCATATCCTTCTAGCTAACTTATTTATTTAGAATACTCTCTGCTCTCACTTCGCGGGGTAGCCGTGAACTTATTTCCAAGGTCTTAGAGTCCATTTTCCAAAGACGAGCGCAATACAACAATGAAGCATTCAAATTCATTTTCGAGAACACTCTTGAGCGAGCTTGTTCGTCTCTCGTGTTACAGACGTCGGACCTTCCTGTGGGAGCCTTCTGGGGTTACATTGCTCAGAGCGACGAGTCAAGAGTGCCCTGCCAACGGTTTATGGTACTAATCAAGCAAAGTCTCACAGTTGGTGTCACAGCTCAAGCTATTCGACTCATCGAAGAATCTCACAGAGTCCTGAGTGAGGCAATGCCGTCGTGGGATCGATCTAGTATCCGTAAAGACAGTTTGGTGCACGACTTACTCGCGCCGCTTGCTTCTACATTGCAGTATCATCACATCACCTTCACACCAAGTGTTGCTGGGTTTTTTGAGTTCCTGATACGAGAGGTCCTGCATTTCAAAGTCCCAACACATCCACAAAAGCCCAGAGGTTGGCGTCACAAGCGACGAGGGTGCTCTCAAGAAAGAGGTTGCATGGACTGTGTTGCTTTGAATGCTTTTCTGGAGTCCGAAGATCAGAAAACCTGGTCCTTCTGCGCGGCAGAATCCCGACGGAAGCATATTGACGCTTATCTTCCTCCTTCCCTTTTCACGAAAGACACACTCCGGAACCGGGCACCATATACCCTTGTTGTCGAGAAACAGGGCAAAGAGCATGCAGAAGAATTACAGAAATTCCTCCAGCAGCTCAAGGATTTTGAAAATGTGCTTGCCCCTTTGCAAAGTGATGTCTTCGCAGCCATGCTGGGCGAGGCAGCATATAAGGAATTGATTTTGCTTGAAAATATCAAGATGGGATTGCCGCCCAGATCTGTTGCGGGAGTCAAGAGGCCCTCTGAAAGCTACGACACTGCAATCAGTGTTCGGCAAAGGCGGTGATATTTACCATAAAGGAGGGGCAAAGTCCAGGCATATTCCGATCGAAGCAGGAGACACCAAGGACGATCATCAGACCAGTTGTCAAATTGTTGATGCAGGCGGTATTGAGCCATTGTGCGGGGTTTGCATAGATGGAAGTAGCCGCATGTCGACTTGGATTGTCAAGTCATTTGGCTAATCTCACGCTACTTGGCACAGCTGGATCAACTTCCGTCGTCATCCCGTTCATAGATTGGGAGTGATTACCAGCACAAATCGAATTACAAATCATCAAGGACGATGACCAAAAGTCGTAGTAGGTAGTTCCACTATGGTCTTAAGGCTTGCTGGCACCGACAGAGGTGATGACTTCATCTCTACTTAGAGGAAGCTCCTAGTGACAAATTGTTAAACTCTTGTAAAAGTGTCAATTAGGTACTGTGAATGAACAGGTATTGCTTGTGGCTATCTAGAACCCTTTTCATTGAAGTACAATCGTACTATTCCCATGTTCTCTACTTAACGAGAGCAAAAGGACAGTACCAGGAAATCTGATTCGGTTCAAGCCTGGATGATCCGGCACAAGTTCTTTGCCAAACCAGTGAACAATAGAATCAAGCCTCCATTGCTATAGTCTAAACATATGAACATCATCTCAGTCGCGAAAAGGGTCGTCAATTCTCTGATCAACTTTGACAAACCCTCGTTTCGTTGACGATGGTACTTCAAGTAATGGAGGCATGGTGCATCTGCGACGCTCCAAAGTCACATCAGAGAGCTGGTGAAGTGCATAGACAGCGTCATTTTCTTTGTTGGTAAGGTCGAGCAGCCCGTGCATCTGCTGGAACTCGACTAGACCCATGCCGATTGGCCAGTCCTTCTGGAAACTGTTCATGCCTGCCAGCGGTGCAGGTCCTCGAGACGATACCGGAGCTGAGGCAGTGGCGCAATGTCTGAGGTAGACACTCGCGTGGTTGTCGACGAATCGCATGCTTGAGATAGCAGCGGGATTAAGAATCTCAGTTGCGGCTTCGCTATTGGAATCCGATGCGTGGCCCGAGTCAGAGTCAACGTCATCGCGCGAATTGATGGTGACGCCGACTTGAGATGCGGATTGAGGAGCAATTCGCTGTGTAGGTGACCTGGGAAGAGACGGAAGCTTCCAATGTCCCATTCCGGATGGAAGAAAGGGGGTGTCTTGAAATGCGCCTTGAGGTTCCAGTTTGTCGAGGCCATCCGCTCGTCCCAACTCGTCTTCCAGTTCGCGAAGCTGGTTCTCCGCTGCGACGAGTACCTCACAGAGAGCATCTCCCGCTGCACGTATGACTTTGTTGGTGGATGTTGTCCAAACCAAACGTTGGTTCATAGAATCGTCAACATATTCCTCGACCTCGGTTCGCAGTTTTGCCAGATTCTTGATGGCTTGAGCCTTTTTCTTCTCATTCGGATCATCGACTCTCTCCGTGAGGCTTTCGGCATAGTCGTGAATCACGTATGGCTGGTCATCGACACGGTTTCCAAGTGACATCTCTGGTCGGCTTTTCATGATATCGTACAGATGGTTGAGACGGTCGCGGTCATACTGGGCCCGCTGGTATTGGTTGCTGAGAATGGAGTACGCGACGTTCACCTAGCTCTGATAAGGTCATGAAAACATGAGTATAGTGAGTTGAGTCTTACATTATCCTGAGGCTTCTCTGACAGATCCTTTGCGATGTTGATATAGGCTTCATCGATATCAAAGCTGCTGGCCGTAGGAGAGACATGAAGAACGCCATATAAATCAGGAACCGAAGGCGTGTGTAGTCCTCTTTTGACCGGCATGGCGGATAACGTTGGGACAAAAGCCTCTAAGTAATGAGACACGGGTGAAGGAGAGGCCTATGCTCAAATCAAGTTCTCTAGACAGAGCAGAATAACATTTGCGAGGGGCTGCCGAAGATGTCCGCCGCGGAGTGAAAGTTGTGCGGACGCTACAAGATGCATTGTTCGTTTGTCTAAGGGGCGCGCTACAAGGCGGCAATGAGGCAACTCGGGCCTTCCACATTTGGAGCTGCAGGAAATCTTCGTGAGGAAACTTCCTTAGGTAGACTTTGTGTACCATCAGATGACCGTGCTTGGACCAGGTCAAGCCTCCATTCGCTAAAGTTTTCTGACAACCTTATGATATGATAGGGAGAGGAGTCACTTTGTTCACCTATTCGTTATATAGGACCCTATCAGTTGAAAGAGAACTCAACAAGTTATTCAAACTTGAGGACATACTCGGATCACTTTCCAAACAAGATTGATCAATCCCTTCACCTATTCAAGATTCTGGTAATAGCAAATGACTCATTAATACACTAGCTCATCTTCATCCTAGCTCTACATATTTCACGACTTCAAGAACGCTTGAAGCTTGCCGTCCAGCCATTTGACGTCGTCAGTGCTCTGACCTGGCCCACCCGCCCTAGTGAGAGTAAGCATTCACATGTAATAACATTTTATAGCTCTGAAGAACTTACCAATGCCCCCAGATCGAGGGGAATGAGACACACTCTCCAACTCCATCCGCCATGCAACTAACTTCATATTCTGAGTCCTCGGGAGGGAAGTAGAGATCCGTTTTGCATGGTAGAACCAATGTCTTTGCCTTGATGCTTCGCATTGCCAACTGGAAATCGCCATTATAAGGTTCTTGGTTGGAGCAGTCTCCTGCTTGCCAGGTGTGCAACATGACAAGCATGTTGTCTGGGTCTAATTTCAGTCAAGATATACGATTAGTATAGGCTTTGCAAGGCTTGAAGTTTTGCCTACCTTTGGAGCATGACCAACTTTCCCAAAAGTTTATCATGAAGTCTTCGAGGTCTTTGTAACCCAAAGCCTTTTCAAATATACGTTCCCGATAGAACGTTTGACTGAAGCCCCAACCAGCATATACCCTTCCCAGAGCTTTCAAGCCGCTGACTTTCTCCTCTTCAGTCCAGCCTCGATAATCACCCTTGGGCGTATTCTCTCCAGCACAAATGCCGCCGGATGCAGCTCCTTTAGCTGCGAGCAGTCCGCTCTTCACACCCTCTAGAAACACTTGATTGTGCAGGGATGTCTTGGCACTCCCGCAGAATGGTACTCCCAGATCCATGAAATCAGGAAACTGTGTCAGCCACTGGTATGTCTGACCGGCACCCATGCTCCAGCCCAATACACATCTTGCATGTACTACACCAAGACCTTCCGTGATAAGCCGATGCTGTGCAGTCACGTTATCGCGGA